ATTGGTAAAAAAAGAAAAGAATTTTTTTTTTTTGAAAAAAAAAAAAAAAAAAAAAAAATCAGTCCACATGATAACCTCAAGAGCAAAGAACAAAGGATGTTAGTCTTTTTAACTATCAAAGCATGAGAAGCAAAAATAAAAAGTATTTATTAATTATGTGCACTGTGGGACATGTCGGTACTGCATTTTTTTTATTTTTATTATTATTTTTTTTAATCCTGTGAAAATTCACGTGCACACACGGTGACTCTGACGGCCCAACCTAACGGCCTCCGTTGCGTTTCCGCTGCCCAGCATGTTCTCGCAGCAGCAGGCGTCGCCGCAGTTCGCCCAACAGAACAGCAGCAACATGTACAACGGCAACAGCATGGGCCTCAACAACCAGCTGAGCGGCCAGATGAGCGTCACGTCCATGGCGTCGGGGTCCTCGCCCGGCTTGCCCTCCATGGGGCAAGAGCAGGTGAGTACTTGGCGCACTCCACGGCCAGTTTGGATGGGGGGGGTGGGGGGTGCGAACAAAAAGTGTTTTCTGCATCTCTGCCAGCTTAGTGGTCGAAGTGAAGTCGAGAACTTGAACATAGCCCTCCGCATTCGTCGCTCTGCTTACTACAGCCCAAGCGGTTCTCTGGGATATTAATTGCACATAGTGACGTTGTGCTAAATTTTCAGATGCAATTGGAGCTCCAGTTATTTGTTTAAATTTAGTTGTTGGTTCTCACTTTCTGTGGCCAATAAAAATGTTTAAGTGTCTGGTAGTAGCAGCCTAAAATCCTGCTCCTCGAATGAGCAATGATTCGAGGAGCAGTTATACCAAAAAATTACACCGAAAGCTTTTTAATTAGTTTTAAATCATGTCTAAGGAATTTTTAACTATCCCTGAGAAATATTTCAGGGGTGGTATTCAGTCGTGATTAATTTGAGAGAATGCACAATATATTTCAACTTTTGCACCCAGTTCTTGCATTTTTTTTATTTTTTTTAAACCAATAAAGTTGTTTCTTGTGTCACGGAAGAATTAGAAATCTGTCAATCGTGCCCCAGATGAAAGTCGACTTCTTCTGCGTTCATCTCCGTATTTCTGTTGGAGTTATTCTAAGCGCTGTGTTTGGCTCTCCTTCATTTAATTGCCATGCTGCTGAATAATTTACTCCGTAGTTCACGTAACTCCTCTAAAGTTCTGCTGCTTCTCTTCCCAACTTTTAGGGCAGTGATGTAACTGGGCACTTTAAAGTCAGACCATTTAGTTACACTTTTATGTAGGCTGCCGACGTTACTCACTGACTCGCATGTTTCGTGTATCAACATCACTCAATTCCTGCCGCGCCCCGCTCGTTGTAAAGCCCAACAAGTTAATTTGTCTGCGTTTGTCTCGCTGGTATCGTTAGGCTGCACGTCTGCGATGCGCTGTTGTTGACCGTAATGCTTTTAAGCCCGTAAAGATCCATGAATATTTAACTACAGCGCTCCTGTTTGATTGCCTGCTGTCCAGAATGTTGTAACATAGCAGCGTGTCCGTCACTGGGCTTATCTCGCCTCCGGGTTTGTAGAAGAAAAAATATTGGCACTTAGATTATTTCAATTATTTACTGTTGAGCCATTAGTGCATGCATTTGTGTTTTTCTCCTATGGGTTTTATGCTTGATGATGTTCTCCAACATGCTTTGTAATTCCTGTAGTTAGACAAGTTCAAGGCTGAGAGGTTTACATTTAGTAATAAAAATTTTATGCTTTAAACACTCTTAAATACATCTACGTTTTCCATAAAATGTGTTAAACGATGTGTACTTCGCTTTAATTCAGGTTTTTTTTTTGTTTTTGTTTTTTAGAAGGAATTTATCACAGCACATTTTTTATGACGGGCTTTGCTCTAAAGAAACGGGTTCTTTGTCATTTCTAGCCGACATGTTGAGCTTTTAGCTGCTGTGCTTGACTACATTTTAAATGTAATATGGGCGCGTTTAAAACGACAACAAACAAACAAAAAGTAAATAAAAATGATCAGAAACAATTTCAGTAGTTCAATTTAAAGTATTATTAAAATGTCTCTGTTATGATCTTTGCAATTGTGTGGGAGAAATGTTGAGTTGTTAGTTTCCCAGGATTCACCTTCCACATGCAGGATAAGCTACAATAGGTCATTGCTAAACAAGCTAGCTGTTTAGAGTGGGGCTACTGTAAACGATTATCTTAGTAATCGAGTAATTGATTAATCTGATGATTAATCGAATAAAAACTTCCCTCCTTCAGTAGTAGCTACTTAAGCTAGTAAAGAAGAAGCTAGCAGATAACTTGCCAAGATGAATTTTAAAAACACAGGTACCCCGAACGTCCACTTGAGACTGCAAGAGGTTTAAGGCGCTCTTATGCTGATGAAAAGTTCTCTTCGCTGCTCCTTACATTTTTGCCACGTTAGCAGCTCTTTTAAAGCCTAAGGTGGTTTGTGAGAAACTTTCTAAGTAGGTGAAATTCTAAGAAAATGTTTAGAATTTGGGAAATTTTAAGAATTTTCCTAAACTGCTTTGGATCCGTTGCGAACACAGGTGCTGAACTTTAACCTAATGAAACTTGCCGGTACTCCGTGAACAGTTGCTCTAAATGCATAAAGTAATATTTGCATTTCCTCCACAGAAATTCTGTTGACCCCCTTGAAGCTTCTTAACACGAACCTCAGCGATCAGCTGGTGCAGGGAGCGCGTCGGCCCTTTAAGAATCAAAAACACAAACTCGTAAGTAACCGACTGCCCCTTGGATCAGCCGGGCCGCCCCCCGCCCCCCCCCCCCCCCCCCCCCCTCTCTCACTCCCTTTTCACCCCAACTGACCTGTTGGGCCCCGGACTGACACAGGAGTGAGCAGAAGGCCAGCCTACCTGCCCGTCCAGCTGCATTCACCGTCGTGTGACTTACTGTAGGGCCCTCCTGGTGGGATACACTGACTTCAGGGAGCAGAGGGGGCATCAGTGGATGTGTTGAATGTATTCCTCTCAGCGGACAGCGGCCATCTACAATCTCATCTCAGAGCAGAACCGAATTGTTCTTCTCTCTTCACTCATTTGGGACGTTTCCTCATGGGTTTCTAACGGCAGCAGAGACTCCCGGGTCATGTTCATAAGTACGAACGGAGCTCAGTCGTTTTTTTTTTTGTTTTTTGTTTTTTTTTGTTTTTTTTTTGCCTTTTTGCTGTATTTTATTTTATAATTGTTTTTTTTTTTTTCTTGTTATGAAAATGAATATGTAGATTGAAGACAGAGGAGTGGGGGGGAAGAAAACTGATCTTGATAAACACTGCAGAAGAATGATTTGAGTGGAATTCTATTAGAATAATTTAGTCAAGAGGTTTATATAGTGTATTAAATTAAGTTTTATTTTTCTGTATAGATTCATTTTAATTATTGTAGATGATTCTTTATCCTTGTAGCAAGAAGATATTCCTAAAAGTGTGAAAGAGGCACTTTTTATCGTTTTTAACAGTAATGGTTGAGAAGATTCTTCTAATCGCCTGAATTATGGATTATAATCTTGGTCCAGCTGTTTCAGAAGATGTCAAAATCAAATATGGTTCAAAATGAATTGTACATACCGATGAGTGAAAAAAAAACCTTTTCTTTCCTATTTATTTTATTCCTTACTGGTCACTACTGCCTCTCTTAAAGCAGAGCAGTTATATGTTCTTTTTTTTTTTGTTATCGTTGTTCTGTGAAGTCCTGACATTCTGATGTTCTGGTACGACTCGGACCGGGGCTGCAGGTTGTCCTTAGTGGGTGTGCTGTGTATACAGTGTACAGATTACGGCTTGCTTCTCTGCCTTTTAGTGTAGAACACAAAAAAAAAGTGTTAAAAAAAAAAAAAAAAACTTCTCACAGCCATACATTAACTCAAAATTATAAAGGAAAAAAAAAGAAGAAAAAAAGTGTGCTTTCTTTGTCGTCTGGAGTGAAAACTGCTTCGTACAAGCTGCTAGGTGCAAACTGTTCGGGTGTGATGTAAACAAGCAATAATTACTTGAGAATCCTTTTCTGTTTGTTGTTTTTTTTTTTGTAATTTTTGTACAGTTTCCTGAATTTGGAAAGGGAAAAAAAAAACACGTTTTTGCTCTGCGTTTGGATGCAGTATTAAACACCGTTTTCTATTGCAGTTTGTACCAAGAAAAAGTCTACATCCACACACACACACAGCGTTCTTGATAAATTATGCAGCCATCTGAGGGGGCCAGGGGGACCTGCAGAGGGGAGGTAGTTTATCCCCCCCCTCGTGATCGAAATGAGCCCTCTCTTCCTCCAGCCTTTTCTTCTATCGCAGAGGTCAGAGTTAAGACTGCACCTGCTCTGACAGACACTTAGCCATATTTTATGACCTCAGGCAATTAAAGTATAAAAGTGTTCACTGATGACGTGCTGATCTTATTTCCCCAAAAGGGAATTGAGATCCGCAGCAAATCATCCTCTCTAACCTCAAAAAAAGGAAAAAAAAAACTAACTTTTATATAAACTATTTTACCCAGGAAAAGACTTTGATCAAGCCAAATGATTCCTCACATTTCAATTGGATTTCTTTCCCCTTCTTAGTTAGCCAGCCCACACAGGAAAAAAAAAAAAAAAACATAAAACATGAAATTCCTAAAGATGTCACTGAGCAGGATCTAAATGCAGATGTTCGTCATAAACCAGATTCACTCTGAATGTATCGTCATTGATGACCTACTGTTCTTTCTTTCCCAACCTGTCGTCACACCGTTGTCTTTTCTGCATTTATTTTTATTTTATTTTTTTTTTTTTTTTTTTTTTTTTTTTTTCCTTTTTTCCAGACGTAATTCGAAAAGTGTAGAGGCTGCACTCACACTCTGCTCGCCCTGCAGTGTGTTTGCCTTCAGTCTACAGGAGATCATACTTTTTTTTTTTTTTTCCATTAGATGCTGTTCTGATTGTAAAAATCCACCCATGCAGATTAAAGCCTTTAAAATCCATTTTCTCAAATAGGCTTTTAAACGGATTCAGAGCCCTTTGCAAATTTCCAAAGATTGTCAGCGTTTTGAAAAGAACTTAAAGCCATGTGGTAGCAGTGCATTTTTTTTTTTTTTTTTTAAGAATTTCTGAAGCCAAGTGCAGAGGAAGTGCACATATTCAGACTTTGGACCCACTTAACTACACACTATATTTTCTTCTCTTTAACGTTTGCTTTTGCAGAACTTTAAATACCCTTTTTGTATCGTCTGCTGGTTTCTTAGAGCTAAGATGCAAACCTTTGAAATGCTAAACACCCTAGCATATTGCCTTAGATTTCGTCCTGTTCTTGTAAATTACACTGCTGTCTGTATAAATTTGTATAATGACTGGTTGTACAGTATTTGAATGGGTGCACCACTATTCACCTCTCCTCCGCTGCTGAAAACACGGTCACTCCCCTCCCCACACAACCACGATCATTGCTCTTCTATGTTGGGAGAGGCCCGGTCCTCTCCTCACTGTTGTATGGTTAAAGATGATTCACAGAGATACTGAAGCAATATGTACTATACTGGATTCTTCTGAAGAAAGATCACTGTTGTTTTTTTGTTTTTGTTTTTCCGTTTTGTTTTCTGCGTCGTCCGCGAGTCGCACTGTATACCTGCATCCATCTGACCTTTGTTACCCCATGGTTGTGTTTGTGTGTGAGCACGTGTGTTGCGTGCGTGAGTGAGTGTGTGTGTGTGTGTGTGCGCACGCGCGTGTGTGTGTTTTATGCAAAATTAGATATATAAGAGAAGGTAAAACCACAGTTATGCAAGTTGTGAACTAATATGGCTTTGCTGATGCTATTTGCCTTGTAAATAAAGAATTCTGTTAATGCATATTTTAACTGCGTCCTTTATTTCATGCTGGTAGTAACTTAAAAAAAAAACAAAAAACATTTTTGTTTTTGTTTTTAGACTACCTCTCCCTAAGGTTTAAAGGCTTATAGATGAATTTCTACCCAATTTTATTCACTTAAATCACTGCATAAAGGGAGATCTCCAGAAAGTTTTTTTTTTAAAAGCTTAAGTAGCAATGCCACTTATGTTGTGTTTCACAACAATCATAAATGAATAAACATGTTTGAACTCAGCCCTCTTGAATTTAAGAATATATATGTATCCAAGTACATACTGAATTAGCATATCATTAAAATTTTTTGCATAATCTAAAAAAATTACTCATTATAGACTTGTGTTTTGATAACTGTGACTTGCAACTATTGAAAACAAGATTTTAAAAAAACTGTACATTATTTAAAGCCAAAATATAGATTTTTAATTTCTAAATATTGATGCACATAATCATGGGGAAGACTATGTCCTGCAGACAGTTACCGACTCCCTCCACAAGGAGGAAAAGACACAAAAGGTCTGACTTTGCTGTTTGCAAGCATTTTAAAGAAAGTTGAGTGGAAGGGGGGGAAAAAAGTGCACAAGAACGATTGATCACTACAGCTTTGAGGGAAAGCCAGTTTTAAGAGTTCAGTGGAGACTCCAGCAATAGCCAGTCTCTAAATTCCTCCTTTTGGATGAAAGTTTTGTTGTTTTACTTTCATCTGAAGTCAGAGTCCAAACATCAGGAGAAAACACATGGAATCCAAGCTGCTTGAGGTCCAGTGCAGGTTTCGCAGTCTGTGACTATAACAGGAAGCCACGTCATCTGCAGCTTTTGGATCACTTGGATTATACTTAACACCTTGTCAGTTGAAATATGGGTGTGTAATGAATAGATATAACACATGGGTATCCTTCCTGAATTGAATTAGTGATAAAAAATTACACTTTTGATGATACTCTCATTTATATAGTGTTTTCTAGCTAGGGGCTGGCATTGACCCAGCATATAGTGTCTCGTTGCAGCCAGCCCATAACCACCTCAAATATAAATATTGAGTTGTTATTATGATCCCTGATCAACCCGAAACAACCGAGTGACCTCCCGCTGTCATCGCTTACTGGAGTCACCCAACTACACTTCCTTACAGCGCGGATATATTCTAGAAAATGACTTCAGATTACTTAAATTGTCGGTTGCCGAGGCGAGTACGAAACAGCTCCCGCGGGTGGATGCGAATCGGAGAAAAGAAAAGTTGGAAACGAAAAGACCACTGGGTGTGGTTGCGATGCTGAAGGGACGTAAACTGCAAAGTGGGTGAATAATTTAAAGAGGTTTTTATTGCGTTGAGTGGTCCGTGGATTACTGACGTGTTCTTCCGTCTGAGCACACCAGAGTGCGTGAAATAAAAAGGTGTGGCGTTATAAAAAAAAAAAAAATTCTGAGACCTCATTTGCATTGGTTTTGTTTCATTTGGACAGGTTTGTTCATAGAAATGTTTGGAGAAAATCTCTCTAACCGTGGAATTAAAGGATGCGTGCCATCGTGTATAGGTTAACTTCAGTGGGCTGTCCTGCGCAGATTAATTGAGATGCATGAGGCTGAGCGGATTCCTCAGCCAATGGGGAAGAGGAAGACGCCGGGAAGCATCTTCAGCGGACCTGAACACGATAGGTGCCCTCAGATGACCAGAGACGCGTCCAGATTTAGGTTTGCGAAGCTCAGCTCAGCTCTGATGGCATGACAGATACGACCTCCTCCTGAAACAGCTGTGATTGGTAAGCTTTTCTTCTATTATATTTTAAAACGTATGTCTAACTTTCTTGCTTCTTTTAATTTTTTTAATCGTGTAAATCTTTTTGTTGTTGTTGTTGTTGTTTCCCAAAATTACGATTTGCGCACGGAGCATGACGCACGGCATCTCCAGCCCTTCTCCGGACCCTCTCCCCACTGTTCAGTAAATTACTGTTCGGGAAACGTTAAGGTCCATTAAATGCTTCATTAATGCTGACCTCTGCTACGACCGACTGTTCTCTGATTGGTGTCATGACCCTGGTTTGTCTCTCTATTTACTGGCTGGCTGGGGGGACTGGTGCCTTCATAGCCTCCTCACTACTGTTTAGTTGTGTGAAGTGTGTGACCTCTCAGCTGGAAATATTGCAAAATCGGCTGCCCGTTTTTTTTTTTTTTGTTTTTTTGAACGGCTGTCTTCAAACGTCCACTCAAATTTTTCTCCACTTTTTCAGACCACATTCCCAGAGTTCTGTCTCCTCCTTTTGCCCATTAAACTAGTGCAAATACACAAGCTGAATATGATTGAATGGAGGGTCCTTGCAAGACTTTGAATATAATCTGTAAAAATAAAGAAAAAAAAATATAGAATAAATCGAATGAATTTCAAACAAAGAAAATACAAGTCTAGAAATAAAAGGTTAAAAAAGGTTTTTTTTTAACCTTTTTTTTTTTTTTTTTTTTTTCCCCACACTCACTGAAACCTGGAATTCAAATCAAATTCCAGACTTTTACAGGCAGAAATTCATGGACCTTTCTTAGTCCATTTAACTAAAAGTTGTTAATTGTGAATTTCAGACAGGCAGTCCTCCCGCAGAGCAGAGTTTAAAATGAAACATTCAAAAACTAAATTGGATGGTCTGGTGAAGAGATGGATACAATTTTTTAGACAAGGGGGTAGAGAATAAAGCCTATTTAATATGTCCCATCTTCTCTGCTTCTCCGTACCTGAAAACGAATTCAAATGGATTACTTCATTACAAACTGCAAAGGAATCCCGCAGTTTGCCCAACATGCATGAATAAGATAAGAAAAGATGTGACGTATGAATTTTACTTTATGTGAACAAATGCAACGGAAGCATGGCCAGATACGCTCACGCTCCTGTCTTTTTTCGATTGATTAAACGCATTAAACTGTAACACTCTCCCCTCTCTCTCTCTCTCTCCTCTCTCTCTCTCTCTCTCTCTCTTCCCCACATCCTCTGAAGAATCCGTCCCTGTTTGAACCTTCACGCTCCCTTGCGCTCATGTCAGTGTCCGTCTCCAGCGTCCCCGCAATGTTGAAGGAGAAAAGCCACCAAGCCGAGATGCTGAAGGGCAGTCCCGTCCGGGGATTCTTCCCCAGCCCCTATCCCTACATGGACTTCTTCCCCCGGACACACACCCTCCTCCACCCGCTCAAGTCGCTCGGTCGACTGGTGTCGGACGCCCGGGCGTCGCTTCCCCTCGGGTTTCACGGAGGCGCGGCTCCGTTCCTCGGTCACAACGCGTCGGGCTTGCCGTACACTAGCCAGATGTTTCCCGGACACGTGCTGCACCCCAGGCCGGAGGAGCTGGCCGCGGTGGTGACGGAGCACGCCGCAGGGCCGCTGTCGTCGGACTTCAGCAACCCGCCCAGCGTCCCGTCTCCATCCGCCAAGTCCTCCAACAACACACCGCCCAAGGAGAGCTTGTTTCGGCCGAGCACCGTCGACATGTCTCCGGAGAAAAGGGTCACATCCTTTAACTTCAGCGAGGAGGACTTGTTCATGGTGCTTTATGGTTACTCTGGGGGCCAGGAGAGCAGCGGGGGCCACGCTATATCAGGACTGACGTTGCAGGAAAGCTTAGGTGAGGCGCTTTTGAATTTTAGGTAGAATTTGTACTTAATGCACAATTTTAATTGACAGGAAGAGTTCAAACAAACTTGCTAACCCCCGTTGAGGGCCCGATGGGCCACAATCCAATAAACGCGTTCGCCAAATATTTATTTAGGCGACAATTAAAACAAAAATCTTATTTCTATCTATACATTAAAATGATGAATTTGTCAGTAATTTACTTAATAATAAACAAATAAATATTTGCTTTAATGAAACCGTAATAAAAATATAAAATTGAAATTAATCGTTAGGTATATGAGAGAACGATTTATTAAATTCGCAATTAAATAAATAAACATGTAAGTTACTAAACAAAAAGTTTTTTTATGTTTTAAAATCTTATTATTACTGTAATTTCATTATTTCATGCCATAATTCAACACATAAGAAATCTGCCCATTTGTTCATTTATTTGTTAGCTTAAATAAAGCTGGAATAAATACAATAAACACAAATATCAACACATAAAAGCAAATAAATAAATCAATAATACAAATTATTTTTGCAATCGCTCATACAAAATAGACAAATATAAAATATTATAAAATACATTCTCTAAATATCCATTCATCCATTTATGGTCTTTTCCTGCTTTTCCTTTTGTTTTTATCCTCTCAGTTTCTAATCCCTCCATTTCCCTACTGGACAAAGACGCCCTTGAGCTCCCAGAGGGTAAGACAGAAAAATCTTTTATATTTCCTAAACATCCGTTATAAGGCGTTTTGAACACCGGCTCTGTGTTGCAGGACTGATTGTCCTCCAGGCTGCTTGGGGACACACTTACCACTGTGGAGTTTTCACAGATAAGGTCAGCATTCCCAAAGGCTCGCGATTCGGACCTTTCCAAGGAAAACTTGTGAACACCAGTGAGATAAAAACATATGACGACAACACTCTAATGTGGGAGGTGATGCTGTTATATTTCCAAAAATAACATATTGCAATCAACTTCTGCGTCATGTTTGACATTAATGTCGTCCTCTGCTCTCCTCCAGGTGTTTGAGAACGGTCGGCTGAGTCACTTTGTGGACGGCAGAGGCGCGTCTGGAAACTGGATGTCTTTGGTGAAGTGCGCTCGGTTTCCTGAGGAGCAGAACCTGATCGCGGTGCAGGTCCAGGGTCAGATCTTCTACGAGGCCTGCAAGGAGGTCACACCAGGCCAGGAGCTCCTGGTGTGGTACGGAGACTGTTACACACAGTTTCTTGGGATCCCACTCACACTGAAGGACCCCAGAGAGGAGAACAACAACAACAACAACAGTGTTTCTCCAACTGAAGGTCTAAATCTACAGCTTCTCCAGATCCTTTCTGTGTTCACTTGGTCTGCATTACAAACCGCTGAAATAAATTCTATATCCTGCAGATTCAGGCGAGGGCTTCAAGTGCGACAGATGTGGGAAGGTGTTCGCATATAAATATTACAGAGACAAGCACCTGAAATACACACGCTGCGTCGACCAGGGGGACAGGAAGTTTCCCTGTCACCTATGCAACCGATCCTTCGAGAAGAGGGATAGGCTGAGGATCCACATCCTGCATGTGCACGAAAAACACAGACCTCACAAGGTAGAGTGAATTCAAACACTGTGGGCTCGCATTTAGCTACGGTTTTTGAACTGTTGGTGCTGAAAGAACAGCTCCCAAGAGTCAGCGAGGCAGCATATGCCAGTTTATTATTATTATTATTATTATTATTATTATTATTATTATTATTATTATTATTATTATTATTATTATTATTATTATTATAGTTTATTAAAACGTGGATTACTCTGGCAATGGATACATAATAAATTTAATTCTCATATTATTTGGTCAAATAAAAATGAATTTAACCAAACTATGCAATTTGAATGAAGCAGCAAAGTGAAACTATTCCTGGCACATTATAATATTCACTAAAATAACTTCATCTATTTTCTCTATTAATGTACTGAATGTCTCATGTGCAGTGCTCCGTGTGTGGGAAGAGTTTCTCCCAGTCCTCCAGTCTTAACAAACATATGCGGGTCCACTCTGGAGAGCGACCATACAAGTGTGTCTACTGCAACAAGGTAAGATAAGGTCAATTCAGTTTATTGGCTTAAGGTAAAAAAAATAAAAATAAACAGGTTGATATATTTGACTAAGTAAAAATAACCACTGTCGTTCAAAGACGCAGAAATAGTAAAGAGTTTACCCCAAGCATTCTTTCAGATTGCAGCCGTGGGTTTTGTTAAAAAAAAAAAAATAGGCCAAGAAGAGAATATTCAAAAGATTGGCATGAATGAACAAGCAAATCCATGTGCATAACTGTAACAACTATAAGTAAATAATTTACTTTAAAAGCCTATTACACTGCTGTGATTCCTTAACTCTATACCAGTTATTTTAATTAAAATTAGATATTGGTCTAATCTAATAAGTTTTTCTCCTTCTTTTTCATTATTTGTGATTTTGTTTGGGATCTGTGCTTTTTAGAATTTGTAAGTCTAAATGTTTCCCCCCCCTTCCTTATTATAACATTTGCATTTTCTCAGTCACTCCAACCAGCTTAAACTTCTTCTTACACATTCCCACATGTTTGTTTTTCCATTTACAAGTATCCAAAGTATATGCCAACTCATTTAAAAGCCTATATCAACTAGATTTCCATTTTACACGGTGTAGAAGAGTGAAGGGAAAAGAAAGATTTACGATGTAAACACAATGCTACACTTAAAAAAAATAACTGACAGTGTATTTAGTTTTCACCCTGAAGTATGATGTCGTTTTTTAATTACAATAATATATTGAAGAGTATAGAAATGGTATAATATGGCATTTTGTTAGAATTTAATACAGAAGCAAGATAAAAATAAACGACTTACATTTTTATATACTTATACCTTGGTCCAGGCTTAAGCCATGTCAGTTAAACAGATACTTTACGGCAATATAAATAAATAAATAAATAAATAAATAAATAAATAAATAAATAAATAAATACTTTGTATTTGAGAAAATACTCACAAAGTATTTTTAAGTTCTCCTCGGGTTTCTCGGACCTGCTCCGTGCTTGAAACCTTTTGGTCTCCTGGTTTCACGGTGCTTTCGGCACGCGCCCTTGTTCATTGTTCCTCGCGAAAGGCACGCTCCTCTTCCAAGCCAATTATCGCCAGATGTTCCTCACAGACTTTTGTCCCGCGACGTTATATAGGCTTTTTATTTACGGTCGTGCGTTGAAGCAGGTTGTTTCCTTTTGAATGCGCCCTCTTTTTTCCGTTTCGTTTCCCCAACTCTTCATTTTTTCTGAACTCACAGCATAAAATTAATTTGTTGTAAATCCTTTCACGTGCCTGTTGGTTATAAAAGCAGAGTTTTTTTTTCAAAATAAATATAACTTCTCTCTTTTAGGCCTTTACTGCCTCCAGTATCTTGCGCACGCACATTCGCCAGCATTCCGGAGAGAGGCCCTTTAAATGCAAGCATTGCGGGAAGGCCTTCGCCTCCCACGCCGCCCACGATAGCCACGTTCGCCGGACCCACGCCAGGGACAAGCCGTTCCAGTGCGAGCTGTGCGGGGCTGCTTTTCAGGAGGAGCAGGAGCTGAAATACCACAAGACGATCCACAAAAGTCAGAATATTTTTATTTGCAAATTAGTTTGCTTATTTTGTTTTCGTTCAGAATTAGGCTAACAAATGTAGCTAAAAAAAAGGTAAATGAAAGGTAATTGAATTAAATTGAGACAAAGTTTCAGTCTATGTTGTGGCAGTAACGAGATCTTTTTTTTAGTGTATTTTTTACATTTCTATAACCTGGTTGTTTCTTTATTTTATTTTAAATGTGGAAATTAGGGATATATTTATAAATATAATTTATTGCCTTCTCTTCCTTTAGAGAGGCAAATCGACACTCTCACTGTTTCTTCTTCTTCTTCGGAAATTGGACTGGAAGACCACTCCGGGCTCCCAGCGAAGGAAATCCAAAAAGCACAGAAGAAACCAGCAGGGCAAAGATTTCCAAATTATACCGGGTTAACAGTTTTAAACTCTGATTATAGGCCCTGGAACTAGACAACCAAGAAAAAGAGGGGAAATGGATGGCTATTGTACAGCCGTATTTAAATCCAAACACAATTATTTAAATGGTATGGCATCTATTTATGTAATGTATAAATGTTATTATGTGGCTTAAAGCTATCACTCTACAATAGCCTGGTTTAGTCTCGCTAGGTGTTATTATTATTATTATTATTATTATTATTATTATTATTATTATTATTATTATTATTATTAAATGTGACATTCCTGTTTTTGTTTTCTTACATTCAATGTAAATTATATTTACCTCTTTCATGTTTTTTTGTTTGTTTTTTGTCTTACAAGAAGTCTGCAATGCAAACAAAAGCAAACCAACAACACTGGTCCCCTTTTCAATTTCAAGCTTTACCATTTTCTTCATTTGTGAAAATAAATGATTGCATGAAAAAAAAAAAAAAAAAAATTTATAAATAAATATATATATATATAAATATAAATTTATATATAAAAATT